ATTTTATACTTTCTTTTATAGTCAGTTGTGTGTAGTTCTGAAGTATATAAATTCTCCAGATTATTGGGTATCCTAACTCTTGCTCATGGATGCGCTTTGATTTGTGTGACTGATAATTTTTATTTATAATATTGTAAGCTTTTTACATTGATAATATTGTGAACGTAATTTCTCCCCCACTGTGGGATTACTATGTATTCTCTGGAAAGGCTTTATGTTTGTCTCTGCCTGGTCTCTGATGTTTCACAGCCTTAAACTGATCTTCGTTAATTTCTTGGCTTTGGCTTCCTGAATCACATACATAACTGAAATTCAAACTTCATTCCCATGTGGATGTAGGTTGTTTTATTTTATCTAAGGAGAGGGAAAGATATAGCCAGGAATAGTAGTCCATGTGAGCCACACTGTCACGTTTTCAGAGTCTTAGATCTTTAAAGGCCCATCCGAAGTTTGATAGCTTAGAATCGATTAAAATTACTTAAATTTTAAAATACTTATTTTTTAGACAGTTGCTTTCTGTTTTTAAAAGTTTGTATAAAACCTAGTTTTTAAGATATATTAAAGCTCAAAGATATCATTGGTAGAAGCAGAGCTTCCAATAAAATAATGTTCACAGAAGTACATGCCTATAACATTTTCAGAAAATTTTAATAAATAGACTATTTTTAACTGTAGCTTAAACTGTTATGACCTAGGTATTAAGATACAAAGATTAGTAAGACCTAATCCTTTCAATGAGATAAAGGACTAACTGGGAAGAGAGATAAAGAGACAAGTGTGGAACCAACTCATTCATTTGTTTATTCATTTACTCTTCATTCAACAAAATTGATTATCTAATATATGCTGGGCATTGTTCTAGGTGCTGTGGATGTAGCAGAAAATAAAACCTGCAAAAATGATTTGCATCATGGAGCTTATATGTGGTGTGATTCTAGTAATATGAAGAAAGTTCTCTGGAAATTCAAAAAAGGCGTATTAATAGTTTGGCATTTCTACCCTCAACTGTGTCTGCTGTCTTCATGTAGACACCTTTTGTTTTATTTTTTTCAGAGAATAATCCTCAGCTTTTTCTAGGTACTGGAAGAGGGTATCATCTGACTGGGTGAGGGATAGCTTTTTAAACAGCCTTTCAGCCAAGATTTCTAGTTTTAGCTCATCTCATTACAGAGGTTCCTGGTGCTGGCAATTCCTGAGGCTTTCTGTGTTGTTTGGTGTGAACTGGATTGCTTCTTCTTGGTTTTCCTTATTGGTAGTTTAAGAATCAAACTTTTTTTTTGAGACGGAGTCTCCATCTGTCGTCCAGGCTGGAGTGCAGTGGTGCAATCTTGGCTCACTGCAAGCTCCGCCTCCCAGATTCATGCAGTTTTCCTGCCTCAGCCTCCCGAGTAGCTGGGACTACAGGCGCCTGTCACCACGCCCGGCTAATTTTATGCATTTTTAGTAGAGGCTAATTTTATGTATTTTTAGTAGAGACAGGGTTTCACCGTGTTAGCCAGGATGGTCTCCGTCTCCTGACCCCGTGATCTGCCGGCCTCGGCCTCCCAGAGTGCTGGGATTACAGGCGTGAGCCACCGCTCCCAGCCAGGAATCAAACTTTTAAGGCTCTTCTATGCTAGTTTCCACTCTCTATTTTCTGGTTTTCAGAATTTTGTTTGTTATTTCCTTTTAAATTTGTTCTTATGAAATCCCTTTACTATTATTTTAATGATTTTAATGAACTAAAATTGAATGTGTGTGTTCAGTCTGCCATCTTTACCTGAAAGTCTAATTGAATTGCCCTTAATCTTGTTAATCTATAGTAGGTATAGGAAATCTTTTTTTTTTTTTTTTTTTTTGAGATAGATCTCACTCTGCCGCCCAGGCTGGAGTGCAATGGCGCGATCTCAGCTCACTGCAACCTCCACCTCCTGGGTTCAAGCGATTCTCCTGCCTCAGCCTTCTGAGTAGGTGAGATTAAAGGCATATGCCACCACGCCCAGCTAATTTTTGTATTTTTAGTAGAGATAGGGTTTCACCATGTTGGTCAGACCGGTCTCGAACTCCTGACCTTGTGATCTGCCTGCCTCGTCCTACCAGAGTGCTGGGATTACAGGTTTGAGCCACCATGCCTGGCCTAAGAAATCTTCTGCCATCATATGTATGTGTAAATGTATATATATTTAACTTATCACAAAACATGAAGAAGATAGAATGTTATAAAATGTTGGGTAGGAGGCACAATACCTTTGTTTCAATTTTGTCTTTAGTATACACTTGCATTGTGTTCTTTGAGCAAGCTACTTTATCTACTTGAAATTCAGTTTTATTACTTGAAAAACAGGAATGTTGGCCAGGTGTGGTGGCTCGTGCCTGTAATAGCAACACTTTGGGAGGCTGGGGTAGGCAGATTGCTTGGCCCAGAAGTTCAAGACCAGCCTGGGCAACATGGCGAAACTCTGTCACTGCAAAAAATACAAAAAAATTAGCCAGCCGTGGTGGCACATGACTATAGTCCCAGCTACTCAGGAGGCTGAAGTGGGAGGATCACCTGAACCTGAGAAGTTAAGACTACAGTGAGCCATGATCGTACCACTGCACTCCAGCCTGGGCGACAGAGTGAGACCCTGTCTGAAAAAACAAAAAGAAGAAGAAAAGAAAAGAAAGAAAACAGGCCGAGCGTGGTAGCTCATGGCTGTAATCCCAGCACTTTGGGAGGCCGAGGAAGGCGGATCACAAGGTCAAGAGATCGAGACCATCCTGGCCAACATGGTGAAACTCCGTCTCTACTAAAAATATAAAAATTAGCCAGATGTGGTAGCATGCACCAGCTAAATGGGAGGCTGAGGCAGGAGAATCGCTTGAACCCGGGAGGCAGAGGTTGCATTGAGCTGAGATTGCACCATTGCATTCCCGCCTGGCAACAGAGTGAGACTCTATCTCAAAGACAAAAAAAAAAGAAAGAAAGAAAAGAAAACTAGGAGTTTTAATGATACCCACCTTATTAGAGTTATTGGTTAAGACCAGTTGATAATTTCAAAGCACTATACAAGCTTTAGGGGTTTTTAGCACCACACCACTTATTCAGAATTAGTTTATTTACAATACAGTATATCTGAGAGTTGAGAAATAAGTTTAAAAAGTCTGTGAACAATTAAAAAATAGATATTATATAGTATCTTGTGAAAATCCATACATTTCATTAGTAGACCCTCAATCAGATGCAGAATCAATTTTTATTCTGGTTTTACCAGCTTTGATATCTATAAAACTGGATCATAGATCAGTTAGACATGATAGAGTCTAAAGTTCAAGCTAGACTTGATAGAATACAAAGCAAGAAACAACTTTTTTCTTCCTCACCATTGTCCTTTAAAAGGACTGTGTTGACGTTCCTATTTATTTTATTGGATAATATCTTGTCATGTCACATAGCTTTTTTTCACTCACTTTCAGATATTAATAGTTTTATGTTTAGGTACCGAAAAGTCTAGTCTAAACTAAATAGAAACTGCAGTCTCTTGTTTAATCTAAAAATTTTCCCCTTACCCTGGTTTGGCTCTGGTTTGGCTCTAGAACCTGTTGAGACTCAGGAGACATGTTTGCTGCTTCTTCACTCTGCTGCTCCCTCCTCTTCTAATCACTAGGCAGTTTTACAGTGGGGTTATATAAGGGACAGGAAAGGTCTTACTCAACTGGTGCAGTGGTCATTTGGCTTTGATGTTTCTTGGGTGTGGTAGATGCCCAATGATGGCTCCTAGTTGACTGCTTTAGTCTTTGCTTTTTAGGGCCTTCCCTCACTGGGGACTTTCCGTGGTGCCTTTTATTGATTCAGGAGATATTACTTTAGCTGGCTGCTTATGACTCCCCTTTAGCTACTTCTGGTGGTGTGTACCCCCAAAGACTCTCAGGTGGGGTTATCTGACCTCTCCGAGAGAGCCTTTTCAAGACAACCAGCCTACCTGCCTTTCATGGAATCTCCTTCACGCTGGAGGAACATGCAATCTTGTGGAAGTAGAATTTGCTCGTACTTTAATTCTCTTTACTCACTCTAGCCTTTCACCTTTACACTTTCCAGGCAAATATCAGGCTCTGGTCTTTTTGTTCTCTAAATTCCAAGACATCCATATCCAGTTGTTCTCTCTAAACTGTCTCACTTGACTTTGAGGAGGAGAACTAAATAAAAATCTAGGAAATAAGATATGGTGGTAAATTTATTTTCTGCTCACAAAAAGGAAAATAATCTGATGGATTAATTAAGAATTCAAATTAACAGTCTTCCTCCCCTGCAAGTTCAAACATTGAGTGTACATACAGCTTAATAAAAAATGAATTGTAGTCATGCTGATTTGGGATTGGCATACTTTATTTGGTCACTGGCTGAATCTACATGTAAATTTCAGGATCCTAATTTGTCATTCTCATTGAATTATTTTCCAAGTTAGATTATGTTAGTCTAAGTATATACCTTTAAATGTCCAGTTTTATATTTGCCTCATGTGATTGGTCATTAGAGCAGGTTAGTTTGCATTAGGAATTTTATCCTCAGTGTATCTGCAGCTGCACCTTTTGTTTTCTTTGGTTATGACCAAAGAATGAGGTAAATTGGCCTCATTAACAGGAGAACCCTATGACTTAAAAGAAAAATATATTATCTCACAGTTCTGGAGGCCAGAAGTCTGAAATCATGGTGTCAAGAGTTCATTCTTTCTGGAGGCTCTAAGGGAGATTCCATTTCATGCCTCTCTCCTAGCTTCTGGTGGTTGTCAGCGATTTTTAGCCTCCCTTGGCTTGTAGCAGATCATTCCAATCTCTGCCTCCATCTTCACATGGCCCGTGATATTTAGTCATTATCCAGAATATAAAGTTTAATCTATAAGCATGAGTTAAAAATTATAAATGTGTAATTTTAGATTGCTAAAGTTTTAGAAAAGCAAAGGCACGAAAATAGTAATATGAAATAAGAAAACGCAAACTATTTCTTAAAGTATTTGACTCAGAAAATTTTCTCCTTTCTGTAGCTGTTGGAAAAATTAGAGGAAAGCCTCTTCCACTACTCTTATTTTTTGAGGCCCTCTTTATCACAAGTCATGCTTTTCGATGTCCTGTTGATGCAGCTCTAACCCTGGAAGGAATCAAATGTGGATTATCGGAAAAACGGTTAGATTTAGTTATCAATTGGGTTACACAGCAAAGGTAAGCAAAATTAAGCTTTTAACTTAATTTTGACATTTGGTTAATAAAGTTGTTTGTTCTAAAAATATTAATAGTTTTATCAATGTGTTACTTGAACATTTACTTCAGGTCCCTATGCAATTAATCAGAAAGTGTTTAGTGGTCGGGCATGGTGGCCTATGCCGCTAATCCCAACACTGGGAGGATGGCTTGAGGTCAGGAGTTCAAGACCAACTTGGCCAACATGGTGAAACCCTGTCTCTACTGAAAATACAAAAATTAGCCAGGCATGGTGGCCAGGTGCAGCAGCTCATGCCTGCAACCCCAGCATTTTGGGAGTCCAAGGTGGGCAGATGACTTGAGGTCAGGAGTTCAAGACCAACCTGGCCAACATGATGAAACCCCATCTCTACTAAAAATACAAAAATTAGGCAGGTATGGTGGCACACGGCTGTAGTCCTAGCTACTCGGGAAGCTGAGGTAGGAGAATCGTGTGAATCAGGGAGGCAGAGGTTTCAGTGAGACGAGATCGCGCCACTGCACTCCAGCCTGGGTGACAAAGCGAGACTCAGTCTAAAAAAATATATATATATGCATTTAGTTTCCTGTAGAAATCTAATTTTCTTAGCAAATACACAACTACATTCCAAATAACTTTATTTTCATATTGACTATTATCGGGGTGATAGAAATTGACAAGAGTTATCAATAGACATAGGCAAAGGAGAGGAGATCCTTTAAAGTAACATTTGCGGGAAGATGGCTCCCATCTAGAGCAGAGAACAGAACAGCATCATTTCAACCAAATGTTTGGCTTTTCTGGTCTATGAACTTTCCTCACTAGTTACACAGCTGCAAAGGGTGAAAATCCTATCAGGTCATCTAAGAAACGAATCCTAGGTTTTCCTGTGAGCTTTTTTTCTCCTCGTGGATACTTCTGGCTATAAGTAGAACAATCGCTATGCCTGCTGGCTTTTCATAATTATGAGCAAACCATAAAGCAATTGTAGGAATGATTGTAAGTACACACTGACACTGGGGATATACATATTCATATACATATCTATCACAATTATAAGCTTGGGAGCAAGTAAAGACCTTTCATAGAACATTCCTGTGTGAATACCTTGGGGTAGGGCAGAGTCAGTCTTCAATTTTCACACAAAGAAGAACCACATCTTGGCTGGTTGCAGCAGCCCAAGTCTGTAATCCCAGCACTTTGGGAAGCCAAGGCAGACGGATCACCTGAGGTTGGGAGGTGGAGACCAGCCTGACCAACATGGAGAAACCTTGTCTCTACTAAAAATACAAAGTTAACTGGATGTGGTGACGCCTGCCCGTAATCCCAGCTACTTGGGAGGCTGAGGCAGGAGAATCGTTTGAACTTAGAGGTTGCGGTGAGCCGAGATTGTGCCATTGCACTTCAGACTGGGCAGCAAGAGCGAAACTCCATCTCAAAAAAAAAAAAAAAAGAAAAGAAGAAGAAGAACCCATCTTAGGGCCTGAGAGCCTATTCCCATGCACCTAAAATTACCATGTTTGGCAAAATTATACAGTTTATTCAGACATTGACTTTTTATTTAGAAATGTTTTGAATTTTGTTAAGCCTTGAACAAAACAAGAAAATCAGTTTTGTTAGCTTATAAAGAAAATTTGAAGGCTGGTCATGGTGGCTCATGCCTGTAATCTCAACACTTTGGGAGGCCAGGGCAGGAGGATTGCTTGAGCTTAGGGGTTCAAGATTAACCTGGGCAACATAGGAGACCTCATCTCTATGAAAAAAATAAAATAAAATAAAATAACCCAGACGTGGTGGCACATGCCTGTAGTCCCAGCTACTTAGGAGGCTGAGGTGGGAAAATCACTTGAACCTGGGAGATCAAGGCTTCAGTGAACTTGAGCATGCCACCGCACTCCAGCCTGGGCAACAGAATTAGGTATTGTCTCAAAAAACAAACAACAACAACAAAAGTATACACTAGGGAAAATGAGAAAATTATTAAACGAATTATGTTAAATTTCTTTTGAAAGTCTATCAGTATTTTTTAGTACCACTTATAGGTCATGTACTCTGTTAGAGTGGTCATTTAAAATTGCTGTTATAATAAATCAGATTTTTATATAGTCTTCAGCCCCTCCCTCATTGATTTCTCACAAAAAACACTGGAATGTTTTTTCCCAGTGTAAGAATAAAATAAGTGTGGAATGTTAAGTATTACCTACACAACAGAGCCAGTTGCCACAGAGTAAAAGCTTGCATTGCTTTTGACATACTTTCTAATTTCCTGTTCTGGTAATAGCACTAATGTCAGAGAAGGAAACCATTAATTAAAATGAAACTTTATAGAATGTGTGAATGACATCTTTATCAGATGAATAAAAGTATATATATTAACATTGTCATCTCAACAAAAAAATTGACAAACTACGTAACTCATTATAATAAGTGTAATCTCTTTTTTAGTACTGTTAAAATTGACATTACATTTTGAAAATAAATACTTCCAAACTAAAAAGAAAAAGTTAATCTCATCCCAAAATACCCCACAGACACACCCAGAGTAATATTCAACCAAATATTTGGGCACCCTCTGGCCCAGTCAAGTTGACACATAAAATTAACCATCCCAGGAAATGTGTGCTTCCCATGTCTGCAACTTTAGTGTTTGTGAGTCAGGAAGTTTTGACTGACTTGATTATCATAAACAGGTAGGACTGTTGCTATATAATGGAGCAGAAAGGAATATTTTTGGCACTCAGGTTCCCTATTTCCTTGAAGAGAACTTAAGACTTAGATTAGGGTGCAGATCATTTACTAATAAACTACTCCTCAGGAAAATTTTTAAGGGGAGTGAAATAGGATAGGACTTAGAAAAGAGCCAAGCAGGATGTGAACTCAGTTCAAGTCTGGTATTAGCCATTATCACAGGGAGAGGGTTATAGAGCATAGACATTACACAGAGTTCTTTCCTTTTATTAAGGGGCTGGCCTTTTGTAACCCCTATCAGTCAGTCCCTGGGGGTTGAGTGTAGACTACTGGGGGTTGTGGATAGGCATAATTTTCTAGGTGAGGAGGCTACAGACACCTGAGGACAATTCTTCAGAGAAGGGGGCAACTGTGAGCTCTTAGTAGTCAGCTGGAGAAGGGGCACCGGTTCAGTAAATGGGACCTGGATGAGGCACCAGAACAGTGTCTACCGTAACAACGGAACAACTTACGAAGATCTGTCAGAGAATAGATAGCAGCTGCTTGTACTGTGTCTTTGTGAAGATGGCCTGGGCTGTGCATATTGGAAGGCAGAGTAGGGAAAGGCCTCCCTGTCATCTGTCTAGTAGTTATAGCCTGCTGCTGGCAGCATAAGGGCTGTGCTTAGTTGGCTCTGAATGCATAGGGATGTAGAACACATACTAGGGAATAATGAAGAGCTCTCATCTTTAAGAAGGGTATCATAAAGAGATAAATGGACATTAGTAAGCAAGCACTTCCTAAATAAAGTCATGACTTAGAAATGTCCCAAACATAAAAATGGTAGGTTTGCATACTACTACCTACTACCACTCATTTCAAATCCACCATTTCCCCTATACAACTTGATAAAGCTATCTTGATGGCACTATTTACCAGTGCAAAGTGTTTCTCCCACCCATTCTTATTATGACCTTCATTTACTGTCCACATAATAGTTAATTTTTTTTTTTTTTTTGAGATGGAATTTCACTTTTGTTGTCCAGGCTGGAGCATAGTGGTGCAATCTCGGCTCACCGCAACCTCCGATTCTCGGCTTCAAGCGATTCTCCTGTATTCGCCTCCCGATTAGCTGGAATTACAGGCATGCGCCACCATGCCTGGCTAATTTTTTGTATTTTTAGTAGCAACGGGGTTTCTCCATGTTGGTCAGGCTGGTCTCAAACTCTCGACCTCAGGTGATCCACCCGCCTCGGCCTCCCAAAGTGCTGGGGATTACAGGCGTGACCCACCGTGACTGGCCTGTTAATTTTGCTTTAGGAAATTTCTTCTTCATATGTATGCCCTTCTTTTCTCTCTTTGTGCTCTTCTCTCTTTCTCTGCCTGATCATGTTTCTACACCCTCCACAAAAAGTACTTATCAGGGAGCACTGGAAATGGTTTGGACTTGATGACATCATCAGAAAGTGTATGTTCTTTACCAAAACCTGTTTTAAAAAGTTCTAGTGCAAAGACACTTCAGACAAGATTAAGTTTCTTACACATAGTGATGGTTCTTGACCCATTCTACCTCTTAGTTGTAAGAATTTAAATTCTTTAATAACTATGCAGTTCTGTGACTACATGCATTGAGGAAATGCCACTAGTTTTTTTTTTTTTTTTTGAGACAGAGTCTCGCTCTGTTGCCCAGGCTGGACTGCAGTGGCCGGATCTCAGCTCACTGCAAGCTCCGCCTCCCGGGTTTACGCCGTTCTCCTGCCTCAGCCTCCCGAGTAGCTGGGACTACAGGCGCCCGCCACCTCGCCCGGCTAGCTTTTTGTATTTTTTAGTAGAGACGGGGTTTCACCGTGTTAGCCAGGATGGTCTCCATCTCCTGACCTCGTGATCGGCCCGTCTCGGCCTCCCAAAGTGCTGGGATTACAGGCTTGAGCCACCGCGCCCGGCCGGAAATGCCACTAGTTTTAAGGATTCTGAGATAATATAACAGGGAATATTAAAGGCAATTCACATTCTTCATACTTAGTCTCTGTTTCCTGGCTTCTGCCTCTGATTATCTGGCCTCTATCACATAGCTACCTTAAAAAGCCTTCCAGTTCATTCCCAGAAGCTCAGCATAGAGCTAGCCCTTTAGCAGCCTGCCTAATGGGCTAATCATGGCTCTCTTAGTCATTCTTACCTGTGAAAAGTCTAATCACTTGGTCTACAAAGTCTAAATTTTAAGGAACCATCCTTTACTGGTATTACTTCTCTTAATTGCAGACATTGCTCCCAGAAGAAGATAAATATCCTCTGAAATTTTAACTTTGCAAACTCAATCCTAGAAAGTAACAGTAAATAAATTTTATGCATGGATGTAGAGATTGTATATTACCTTTATTTTGACATTAAAAATTTTTAAACCAAATTTATAATCCAATATGTCTTAGATTACTGTGGGGTTAAGCATATTTTATTTTATTTATTAGCTGTTCATATTCTCCAGAGCTAGCCTGGTCTCAGATCCACTTTCAGAAGTCCCAGAAACAGTCCTCTTTGAGTTAGGAGTAAGGGTGAGAAAACCCAACAAGGGGACTTTAGGAAAACAGAAAGAGGGTATGATGAGGTGATTGGAGGGAAAAAGGGGGAGGGAACTTCCCTGGCCCCCTTCCCAGCCCTGGCCTTCTCTGAGGTGGTGACCCTTAAAAAAAATGGCATTAGTAAGATAAATAAATACTAAAATACTGGCGTTATGATTTTGCTACAGTATTTCAGTCACTACATAGACTGAAATAATTAACTTGTTCAGCCTCAGGAATTGTGGCAACTGTAGCTACTAAAACCTTTATTTTGGTATTAAAGTGTGGAAATCAGAGAACTGCTTAATTAAATAATTGATTTGTACTCAAGCTGCCTTTTGATTTAGACTCCCCCCTCTGCTGCCCACCCCAATAAACACAGAAGGCTTTATTTACTGAATTTTCAGTAAAGAGACATCGTGTAGGGGGTTCAGGATTTCATTTTAATGTTACCAGCATTTTTAGATGTATACAGACACCAATATCATACGATTGCCGTTATTTTGTAGCTATTAATTAAAAATATAAAGTATAATTTTCATACCGTTAGTAATTAGAAGTGATATCTTTAATCATGCACAGATGTTCTTTTGGCTATGCTTATAGTTTCTAGGGAAGTTACTCTGATAGTACAACAGATGATTAACTTCAGTTGTGTATAAAGGTGGTACACTAAAATAGGACAAGTGAAATCTATTCTGTTGACCCATCTCAAAAGAACTGCTTCTTCGGTCTTTCCTAGTAGGCACAATTATGTCCATTTTCCCCTCTTGCCTCTTATAAATCTATAACAAATTTAAAAAATAACAGTGCTGTCACACTTTCTGTTTTACTTTTGGTAAAAATGCTTGCAATATCTACCTCTATGAGCTGAAATTGCTGTCACTATCTATAACCAATATTTAATAAGCTTTTATATTCCATAGGGTTTAGAATCTCGATAACTGCTTGAGAATATTAAGACCCCCAATTATGAGAGCATTTTTGTTTACCTCGTAATTTTTAGACCTATCAGTCTTTTTAGGAGAGTTTTAATCTTGTTTGTGGTTTTTTTTTGAAACTTGAGCTTTTGAGGAGCCAAAATGTCTTCCTCCAAGGGAATACACACTGATTGTTTTTTTGTTGTTGTTATTGTTAAATCTCAGATATGTTTAATTTCTCCTACATAATCAATGGCCTATTAAATTGTAACTTGGAATTCTTGCAGGCAGTAGAAAATCCAGTTCTACTGTGCTGAATTTTCAAATATTTCAGCCTCAGCCACTCATCAGGAATTTTCTAACGTATGTCTTATTGATCTGCTTGTTCTAGACTGACATTTTCTGAGGAGGCTGGGGATGTGATTTGTGATTATGGGGAGCAGGATACTTATAACAAGGCCAAGTGCCTGGCTTTAGCTCAGATTATCTACAGTGAATGTGGCCTGCACAAGAAAGCTATTCTTTGCTTGTGTAAACAGGGTCAGACTCATAGGGTCATGGAGTACATACAGCAGTTCAAGGACTTTACTACCGGTAAGTTAAAATGTCTGCCATTTGTATACATTTGAATTCTGGACTTTAATTGTAAAATTACTCATGATAGCAGGCACTACTTTAAACTTACGTTATAAAATCAATTTTATATATACCAATAAGTGGGAAATTTCTTTTGTAATTTTTCATGAACACAGGTAAGCTGGAGCCGATTGGCTTTCATGCTAGATGTTCAAAAATATTATGTATTTCCTCAAAATAAAAACATTTAATAAACCAGATAGTCCTGGAAATATACAGTTTTAAAGATAAATTTATACAGAGTAGAATACTACATATGTGATTTTTAAAAATAACTTATTTGTAATATTTTATTTTATTTTTTATTTATTTATTTTTTAAGACAGAGTCTCACTCTGTTGCCAGGCTGGAGTGCAGTGGCGTAATCTTGGCTCACTGCACGCTCCATCTACTGGGTTCATGCCATTCTGCTGCCTCAGCCTCCCAAGTAGCTGGGACTACAGGCACCCGCCACCACGCCTGGCTAATATGTGTTTTAAGCAGAGAATGGGGTTCATTGTGTTAGCCAGGATGTTCTCTATCTTCCTGACCTCGTGATCTGCCACCTTGGCCTCCCAAAGTGCTGGGATACAGGCGTGAGCCACCGCGCCAGCCTGTGATATATTTGAAGTGTAATATAAGCATTAGAAAATGAAGAATTTGGCCGGGGCGCGGTGGCTCAAGCCTGTAATCCCAGCACTTTGGGAGGCGAGACGCAATCACGAGGTCAGGAGATCAAGACCATCTCCTGGCTAATGCGGCTGAAACCCGCGCCGTCCTTACTAAAAAATACAAAAAAAACTACCGGAGCCGAGTGGCAGGCCCTGTAGTCCAAGCTACTCGGGAGGCGGGCAGGAGAATGGTGCAACCATGAGGCGGAGCTTGCAGTGAGCCTGAGATCCGCACTGCACTCCAGCCTGGGACAGAGAGCGAGACTCTGTCTCAAAAAAAAAAAAAGAAATGAAGAATTTATAATTTATTTCAAAATTTTAAAACACAATTGAGCAGTAATCTGAGATTACAATTGAGCAGTCATCTAAGAGAACTGTGGACCTTAGGGTGACCCTAGCTGGATGAGCAGATCTCTTACTCTGGATCTAGTTTGGCAATAACTCTGAATACAGGCATTGCTGACATCTCCCCATCTCCCAGGCCACTGCCTGTCCTGATTTGCAGGCTGTGTATCCCAGTTCTAAGAACATGCAAAATGGAACCAAACATAGCTGTTTTAGGTCACATTCTTCCAGGAAAAAGGAGTTTTAGTGGTTGTTGAATCTGGTCATTTTCAAGCAATTAATTGACTTTTTCTTAGAATCTATATTTTTTTTAAGTTACAAATTTCTTCGTTAATAGCAGCATGCCCTATACTATTATTGTAATAATAGCTAGGCTTTTTTCCATGGATTATCTCACTTAATCCTTATTTTGACTCTATGAGGTAGATTTTGTTATTGTCCCATTTTATAGATGAAAAAAATAGTATGTTTCCATACAGAGGCTAAGGCACAGCTAGAGGTAAGTGATTTGGTCGTGTAGTGACAGGACAGAATCTGGCATAGTAGGTATTAGTTAATATTCCATTACCTAAGTATACAGTTTCAGTTTCTGTGTTGTTAACGATTATTTTTCCATAAGTAAGAATTATATTAGTTAATGTTTAGACATTGGATATAGATTTTAATTACTTTTAGAATTTAAAAATTTTAGGGATAGGATCTGTAGTCCCAGCCACCCAGGAGGCTGAGATGGGAAGATCGCTTGAACCCAGACATTCTAGGCTGCAGTGAGCTGTGACTGTGGCACTGCATTCCTGCCTAGGCATAAGAGTGAGACCTTATCCCATAATAATAATAATAATTTTTTAAAAAGAAAATGGATTTTGAAATGTAGTAAGCGAAAGGGATATGAGGAGTTCAAGACCAGCCTGGGGCAACATAGTGGGACCCTGTCTCTATATATTAAATACATTTTAAAAACCCAAGGCTTTTAGAGTTAAATTATGTTTATGGTAGTTCTTGAAAGGCTCTCAAAGTTATTCTGAAAATTACCTCTATTGTGGCCCCAAAATAATATTTTTACTTAAAAAAATTTAGGAAGTTAATACAAAGTTTACAAATTTGAGACTATAGAGTGGGGCACGGTGGTGCATGCCTGTAGTCTCAGCTATTGGGAAGGCTGAGGCGGGAGACTGCTTGAGCCCAGGAGTTTGAGCCCACTCAACCATTATGCCTATGATGAGTGATGCACTCCAGCCTGGGCAGCACAGTGAGACTTTGTTTTGAAAAAATTTGAGAATACAAATCATAATTGTAGCTTTAGATTACCTCAGTGGTTAACTAGTAGATTAACCCATATGGAATTGGTTTTTTTTGTGGTCAAATATAGGCAACTTCATATGGCTCCACCTCTAGCTACTTGAAATAGCTAATGGCTTCTTAAAGTTTTCATTTTTGAATTTCTAAATACTTGATAGTTTTAGGAAAAAAATTACTGAATTGCATTTTCTGTGCAAGGCACAGAAAGACATTATACTCACCAGAATTTGGTCCAAATATGAGCAACAAGATATAGACAAACAAACTGTAGTATTAGATGGAACCTTCGAAATTATCTCCACTTCGGCCGGGCACGGTGGCTCACGTCTGTAATCCCAGCACTTCAGGAAGCCGAGGCGGGCGGATCACAAGTCAGGAGATCGAGACCATCCTGGCTAACATGGTGAAACCCCGTCTCTACTAAAAATACAAAATATTAGCCAGGCATGGTGGCGGGTACCTGTAGTCCCGGCTACTTGGGAGGCTGAGGCAGGAGAATGGCATGAATCCGGGAGGCGGAGTTTGCAGTGAGCCAAGATCACACCACTGCACTCCAGCCTGGGCGACAGTGAGACTGTCTCAAAAAAAAAAAAAAAAAAAAAGAAATTATATCCAATTCTAGCGCTTTTCAGATGTGAAAACTGAGTTCCAAAAGAGTAAGTGACTGATGGAGCTATGATTAGAATTCAGGTTTCCTGATAGCCCATCTATATTTTTATTATACCACATTTCTTTTCGTTATAATTATTTTATTGTATTTTGGATACTCTTATGGGTAGTTTTCCTTCATTTTTTGCTATGCTGAGCATGATTTTTTTTAGGGGGGGCTAGGGGATAGTACTGTTGAGTTTAGGTTGGAGTGGGTCATTGAGGGCTTTGAAAGGATTAGAAAAACTGTTGATTGGCAGGTATAGACATTAGTAGTTGATTTATCATGTTAGGATGTTGAGATAAAGTTCTTTCATTTTTGCCTTCAGATGACCTGTTGCAGCTATTAATGTCATGTCCCCAAATTGAATTAATTCAGTGTCTCACTAAAGAGTTGAATGAGAAACAAACATCTTTATCTTTTGGTCTTGCCATACTTCATCTGTTCTCTGTAGATAAGAAAAAAATTGGCATTAAGCTACTTCAAGAAATAAATAAAGGTGGGATAGGTAAGTAGAGTAAAATGTTGTGGAAGAAATAGTAGTGGGTTATTTAGGGAGAGGTTCAAGATGATTATGCATGAGTTAACTCAAATTTCCCTAAGAGTTCCTTCTTAGCAAGAGTTAACTTTAGGAGTTTATAAATATAAAGATTGCCATGTAAATAATAATCCGTTGGCAATAGGATATGTTTCTTGAGATAATTAAAATGAAGAGATAATCTTTATGAAGCCTGAGGGAGATGTTACAATAATTGTAATCACTAACACTAAAAACTTTATATATATTGACATGTGTATATTTAGCTATCTTTTATATGTATTTTAAATGTTATGTAGATATAAACTATATGTTTTAATTCCTAAACCAAATGTCTGTGTGTTCACATATGATATTCACTCTGAACCTAACTCTGCTGTGGATTAGAGAATAACTGATTAGGCTGGGTGTGGTGGCTCACCCCTGTAATCCCAGCACTTTGGGAGGCTGAGGCGGGTGGATCGCTTGAGCTCAGGAGTTCAAGACCAGCTTGGGTGACATGGCAAAACCCTGTCTCTATGAAAAAAAATACAAAAACTAGCCAGGTGTGGTAGCATGCACCTGTAGTCCCAGCTACTCGAGAGGCAGAGGTGGAAGGATCGCCTGAGCCCAGGGAGCTCAAGGCTACAGTGAACCGTGATTGTGCCACTGTACTCCCTGCCTCAAAAAAAAAGAGAGAGAGAGAATAATTAAAACTCACTTTTATTTTCTTTTCATTAATTTAATATAGGAAGTTGAGCAGACAACTTGATTTTAAATTACTTGAAAACATATTTTGGAAGATAACTATATTTTGAAATTATCATTACAAATATCAACTAAAATATTTTTGTAGAAAAATGATAATTATGGTAGAAATAAAATTATAGTGATGACAGTGTTCTAAAAAGTGATCCTCTTTTATGAAGTACCATAAGTAATGCAGGTAATAGATAAGAAATGAGTTCCATAAACTGATAGATCACTAAGATATTTTTAAAAGTAAATAATATTAAATTTCTTTAACAAAATGATTTTATTTCCTTAAGAAAAATATTTGTTATAGAAGCCCCATCATTAAGAGGTCTCCATCTAGAGACAGGATGAAGAGTTTGTCAAAGAGTTTCTTAAGTCCTTGGGTTAGCAGCACTAAGGCATTTATATAAGTGTTTGAAATCATGAAAACTTCACCTATAAGTCCACAGTTATTTGATAGTTTCTAGTGGTGCCTTATAGACTCTTTGAATAAGAATGAGCCCACATTCATCACTTTCTGAGCTCCTGCCTTATAGCCTTCAACATCTGCTACCATAACAAGAAGGCAATGAGTGGAGACGTGGAATGTGAGAAGTGGTAAAGGGTTGAATTGAGACATCAAGAGGTTAATGATAAGGGAGGAGGAGAAGGAACTAACATGAATACTTACCATGAGCTAGACTGAGCACTGCATGTTATATCATTAGTCTTAGGGGAATCAGGTAGAGTTTAACAGTAACTGAGTTGAGATTATATCCTTTTCTATTTTTGAAAAATCACTAAAGTATGGATTATCAAATAAGTGCCATACTGTAATATTGTATTTTTTTCCCCACAGATGCAGTAGAAGGTCTTATGATAAATGATTCATTTTGCTCCACAGAAAGGTGGCAAGAAGTGGCAAATATATGTTCACAGAATGGCTTTGACAAATTATCTAATGACATCATGTCTATTCTTCGATCTCAGGCTGCAGTTACAGAAATTTCTGAAGAGGATGACGCAGTTAACCTAATGGAACATGTGTTTTGGTAGTTCTATATCTTAACCAGCTGAGGGAGCTTGTACAACACTTTATGTATGCTGGTTGGGCAAACTGATTTTAACATAACTAACTTATAAATAAATTTAGAGTAAGCTCTCAGAAATAAATCACACTTTTGTTATGATGACATTTGGATTTGTCTTTGAAATATTTATACTATTGCTTCCTTTTTCCCATATGGTCATTTCTTATATTGAATCTTGATAAAATCCAAGATTATAACTTTGTGCGAAACAGTGTAGGCATTTTTATCTAAGGACATAAGCTAATGTCCAGATATATTACTTTCTGGTGATGTAATATGATAGCAAGAACTAAAGAAGGTGCAGGTAGTATCCTGTATATTAGACTGTCTTCCCAAATGTGAAATGCTACAAGCCTGACTTGACAAGAAAAGCAGGATATCATTTCAAGGTTGGACTTGCTGGCAAAAACCTGGAGTACAGTAATTTTGTATTGCTGATTTAAAGATGTGCCCCATGCTTTGATATATATAAATATGGCAAAGCTTAAGCTTCTAGTATAAAAGCTGGGAATCTTGGCATATTATTACTTAGAGAGAGGACCAGTCAAATTTTGCATAGAAGTAGACCTGTGATACCTATAGGTATGGAAAATATGTCATAAGAAGTGGTTTTGGATGATTTCAAGTATCTGAATAAGTATTTGATTGAAAATTCCGAAAGTTCTGTGCCGTGGACTGTTGTAATATTTAAAATATTTAATGATTAGTATGGCATGGGCACAAATCGAACAGAACAGATACCTGATTAATCAGAACAGCCTTTAGCCCTTATACCACACCAGAGCATACTAGCTAAATGTTAGCCTGGACCATGGAACATGGTTAAAATGAGCTGCTGGCTGGGCGGGGTAGCTCATGTCTGTAATGCCAGCACTTTGGGAGGTTGAGGCAGGAGGATCACTTGAGCCCAGGAGTTTGAGACCAGCTAGGTAACACACTGAGATCCCGTCTCTGTTATTAAAAAAAGAAAAAAAATTTTCAAGTAAAAAATGAAAATGAGCTGCTATTAGAATAAGAGCAAAGAGCATAACTTTTCCCCTCCTAAACTTAAATTGCATATGTATTTTTATGTTATAGTGGAAAGAAGATGAACAGGGAGTCAGACAGCTTCATATTAAAATTCTGGTCCTACCTCTTACTCATTTATAAAATATGGGCAGTCCTCCCTTAGGCTTGTTTTGAGGATTAGTGATAATGTATGTGTAGTGTAAGTGTATAACATGATAGAGGAACTTAGTAAAAGATAGCTATAATTCTTTTGTAATAGGCCCCAGAAACACACATTTCTCTACTTAGTTTGTACTTACTAAATCCCATATGTCTATTCATTTGTATTTATATGTTTATCCTTCTTTAAAGTATTTGATATATTGGTACAACTTACTGCTGATATTATCTGTCCACGCTTGTATTAGGGTTGCCTGGCTTATTTTATAAATTCAGAAGCATTCAAGCTGAGTTTTTAATTTTTCCATTTGGTGCTAAACAGAGTACTGGATAATTATAATTCAGCTTTCTAAAACATAGCATTTTTAAAGTAATACATGTGCATAGTTTAAAAAGCAATTTATTACTAAAAGACTTATCAAAATAATATTTTGATTTTTGGCCTTCATGCTAGCTGTTGAAAAGAGCAGATAAAGGATGGAAAAAAGGAATGGAAAGGGAGAAGTATTTCAGCAGCACTGGTTCTTTGTGTACCAATGGCTTAAAACCTTTTTTTTTTTCTTTGAGACCTATATGATTGATAGAAAGCTATTATGTGTCCGTTGACAGAGCTTAGAAAAAACATGTCTCCATGAAAGCCGGGAGGATGAAGTAGGTATGTAAATCTAGAGAAAGCTTAAACAGCCGTTGTTGTTCTTCATTTCTAATTTTGCCTTGTTTTTCCTTTGCTCATTATTACTCCTTCTCAGCTAGCATTGCCGTTGGCAGCTTTCCCAAGGAAAGCGAAAGTTGTTAAGTGAATATAAATTAAAATGCCTGGTGATGGAAAATGGAGTTGGGAGGAAGAGCAAGATTATAAAGTTAAATGAGAAAGGAGAAAGAATTGAGTTGTGAGCTACAGAGAGCTTTGAAGCTGTCAGAGCCTCCGTGTAAGCTACACTGAAGGAGGTATCATCTGGGCCTCAGCACAGAAACCTGCATTCTAGACCAGCCCCACCACTGTCTAGCTACGTCCTTTTCCTCATGCTTAAGATAAATTTATTTTGACTAGATAACTCGTCTTGTCATTTCCACCTCTAAAATTCAGTAATTCTGAAAAGGTAAAAATTATTTCCTAATGCTTCTTGACCTTCAGCCTAAATTTGAAATACTACAATTCAAAATCAGCATCAACAACATCTACTGAATACCTATTTTGCATACAATTTCTGCTAGCAAAATTACAACTTCAATGGAAACACACAGCATATTTTAAAAGTTACTACTAATAATTCCTTAGCATTATCTAATAGTCCATATTCAAATTTCACCAGTTGCTTAAAAATGCCTTTTAACATTTGAATTGTTCCAATGAAGATTTAACCAACGTTCGTGTGTTCCATTAGGTCTTGCTGTCTTGAGCGTGTCTTCTCTCTTTTTTTCTTCTTGCCATTGATTGCTTTACATAGCAGTTGCATAGCAAGAGCCATGATGAAGTAAGTTTCTCTGATTTCACATTAGGTTTTCTTTCTACCATACCATTGAGGAAAGGAAGGTATTTTTTCCAAGATTTAATTGTAACTAGTTACATTTTTGTTTATTGTAGTCATGCATGTATCAGAATGAATTTCTGTTAAATTCATTCATTTGGAAAGGTTTAGAGACGTTCTGAAACAGAAATCTAATCTAATGAAAAAAAATTTCTTAATATTTAGAACTTTCCCTAAATCCTGAATTAACTAAGAAATGACCATTAAATTAATCACTTTTTTAACTTTAAAAGATGAAAAACTGATACTTTTTAGGTGCCTGGAATTCTGTTGGATTGCTAAAGCATATGTTAAGTCAAAAATCATAGCAGAGGCCTTATTATTTTTTTTAACTTTGTACATTTCATAGAAAGCTCGTATGTTTCTTCCATTCTTTCTCAGAAAAAAACAGCATTTAACAAATGTTTGGTGTAGCACTACTGAAAATATAAAACTGTCAATTTGCTAGTAGTTATAATTTGTTGTGTTCTTGAATAAAAATATACTGGATACATAAAAAAGACACTATTTTTTATATAACTTTTTTCATTTTTTTAAATTGATAATTATCTACAGGTACCCTCCCTACCTAGAGGATCTGTGTCTACCTATAGAGGTCTGGCACTACTGTAAATGATTGAAATGTATCACAGTCAGGGAAAGGAGGATCTGAGGACTTTTTGAAAGGGACAATTGTGATAAATTCCACGCAACTTTTATTATGCAGGACTGTGGACTCGGTGTTACCTTCTGGGAGGCTGGAAATGTAGATTTGATGTAAGCAGTCCTGATTTTTCAGAATACTATGTGGGCCAAAGAAAACACATCAGCAGACCAGACTTGACCTGCAGGTCACTCATTTGAAACCTCTGTCCTAAACTGAGGCTAGATTTGATTTCTTGTTTCCATCAACTTTATTTTTATTTATTTATTTATTTATTGAGACAGTCTTGCTCTGTCACCCAGGCTGGAGTACAGTGGCGCAATCTCAGCTCACTACAACCTCCGTCTCCTAAGTTCAAGCGATTCTCCTGCCTCAGCCTCCTGAGTAGCTGAGATTACAGGTGCCCACCACCACACCCAGATAATTTTTGTATTTTTAGTAGAAATGGGATTTCACCATGTTGGCCAGGCTGGTCTCAAACTCCTGACCTCAAGTGATCCATCTGCTTCGGCCTTCCAAAGTGCTGGGATTACAGGCGTGAGCCGCCATGCCTGGCCTCCATCAACTTTAAATGAAGCTTTTTGAGTGGATAAAGATAGTAAAGAATTACCATATTTTCCCATTTGGTGCCGGGCACGGTGGCTCATGCCTGTAATCCCAGCACTTTGGGAGGCTGAAGCAGGTGGATCATGAGATCAGGAGATCGAGACTATCCTGGCTAACATGGTGAAACCCTGTTTCTACTAAAAATACAAAAAATTAGCAGGGCATCATGGCAGGTGCATGTAGTCCCAGCTACTCGGGAGGCTGAGGCAGGAGAATGGTGTGAACCCGGGAGGTGGAGCTTGCTGTGAGCCCAGATTGCGCCACTGCACTCCAGCCTGGGCGACAGAGCAAGACCCCGCCCAAAAAAAAAAAAAAAAAAAAAAAAAAAAATTTACCTTTTTTTCTCATTTGGAAAAGCCTACTGCAGAATACCCAATTTACTGATGTAACAGAAGCAGAAGGGAGGATAAAGGATAGAGCTACTATGTGGAAGCCAATCCAGTATGGAGGCCATTTTGGTTTCTAATGCAGAGGAACGTGTAAGATAACATAGATGCAATCTGTGTGTAGAAAGAGAAAAAGGTACAGAGTCCTTAAGTAATTTTGACTTCCCCCAACCCCACTCTAAAAAATTAATCTATAGTATTCTTCCCCAACTGTATGCCATAAGCTTGGTTAAGAAGTAGTAGTATAGCTTTAAAATAGAGGCTACAAAATTACATTTTGAAGATTTGCCTACATGGATCCTTGTCTCTATCCAGTTAGCTCTTCAGTGGAAATTCCACTGTGGCTGTGGGGGGGTTTCCATTATCATGTTGTATATAAACTGCAGCAATAATCACCACCAAGCATTTTTAGCTCTCCACTGGGTGCAAACTCTACCTTTAAACTCCCATGTGTATTAATGTGTTAGGGCCACACTGAGAAGGATCCACCTTTTCCACTCAAGGAACAGTTGTGTGAGCTAAATTCTGTTTTCTTGTTTTATTAGGTCAGATAATAAAGATACTATCATAAATAGAGTGAGCTTTAGGTGAGTTTGTGCTTAACAGGAAGGGCATGTCACCCTTCCACCACTTTGGTTGTACACAGATCAGAATGTGTAACAACACATTCCCATCCATTTTCTCCTGGAACTCTTCCTTCACCTCATACTGCTCACACATTTTGACTATGTTGTTGTTGTTGTTGTTGTTGTTTGAGGTGGAGTTTCCCTCTGTCGCTCAGGCTGGAGGGCAGTGGCGCGATCTCGGCTCACTGCAACCTCCGCCTTCCGGGTTCAAGTGATTCTCTTGCCTCAGCCTCCTGAGTAGCTGAGACTACAGGCGCCCCCCACCATGCCTGGCTAATTTTTGTATTTTTAGTAAAGATGGAGTTTCACCATGTTGTCCAGACTGGTCTCAAACTCCTGACCTCAGGTGATCTGCCCGCCTCGGCCTCCCAAAGTGCTGGGATTACAGGCATGAGTCACCATGCCCGGCCTGCTCACACATGTTGAAAATGTACATTTTGGAAGCAGCCCCCAGCAGTGGGACTGAATTGTCAAAGATTTTTGCCAAATTGTTTGAAGAGTTAGGCGTTTATGAATTAACGATCATGAGTTTTGATTGCAGGCCCTGACCAATCCAAAGAGTTTAAAAAGTCAGTTTAAAAAGTCAGCTTGAAAAGTCTTCATGCTGTTTTTGGCCAGCCTCCCTGAGGTGAGTACTTAATATTGATCAGCTTCTGAACACAACATCAAGAAACAGGTTCGTGCTGCTACTAGGATCAATAATAAGGATGGGAAAAACATTGGCAGAGAGATTCCAGTGGCCTTCCAGATTGCAGTGCAGAGACCCTGCTTGCATCAGAGCTTTAATCTTGGCATCAGAGAATGTGACTCTCCCTGTTTTCATGAGGGTGCAGGGACAGGGAGAATAATTGCCAAGGCTATTCCTTCTATTCCTTTGCCCAGGTTGGTCCCTTAGAGATGGGGAAAACTCCTTTATGCTAGTTGTGTATATAAATAGTCTCCAAGTTTCCTCTACCCTCTGGGTATGCTTTTTCAGGTGTCAAATGAACATGATAATATTTTCTAAGAGATGATTTTCATGCTGACCATTTCTGTAAGGAACAAGAGGTCTTGAAGAGCTCATAACACCAGTAGCAAATACCAGAAAAAGGTGCGTTATCTTAAACCCAAGTGACACATAAATTAGATATCAATAAGATTACAGCTACTCCTATTCTGTGATTTGTAATCCATGAAAAATTGCTCACAAAATGAATATTTCCTAAATGAAATAGGACTGAAATAGTTATTTTGAAGAAATTTTCCTGGGAATGCTCTGTTAAATGAATCGCCAATTCCCAATTTATCTGCCTGATAAATGTTAGCTTTGCCTAATGCAAGGTATCCCATTGACAAGGATAATAGCAGGCACCACAAGCACTTGTTAAAATCATCTTTGCTTAAATGCTAAATAGAATATTGAAACTAGTTTTGAGGCTTCACATTAAGAAAACTATTACTGGGCCGGACGCGGTGGCTCAAGCCTGTAATCCCAGCACTTTGGGAGGCCGAGACGGGCAGATCACGAGGTCAGGAGATCGAGACCATCCTGGCTAACACCGTGGAACCCCGTCTCTACTAAAAAATACAAAAAACTAGCCGGGCGAGGTGGCGGGCGCCTGTAGTTCCAGCTACTCGGGAGGCTGAGGCAGGAGAATGGCGTAAACCCGGGAGGCGGAGCTTGCAGTGAGCTGAGATCCGGCCACTGCACTCCAGCCTGGGCGACAGAGCAAGACTCCGTCTCAAAAAAAAAGAAAAAGAAAAAAAACTATTACTAATTTTGAGCATGTATAGATCATGGAGATGTAGAAAGAAAAGTTGAAGGAATGGGGTTATTCAATCTGGGAAGAAAAGAACAGTTCTGCCTTTGAGTGTCCAAAAGCCTTCACATTAAGGAGACAACCAACTCTAAGCCACATGAGACACAGAACTAAATAATAAACAATTTTTATTTGACACAGAATAATTTGCTGATGGTGGAGATCGTGAAGGCTGATATTGGGTGAATAAAGAAAGTTGTAGAAGGAGCTACTCTGAAGGTCTTAAAAAATAAATGAGTTGCTGTCTTCCGTTTGATATAATTATGGTAGTTTCTGGGTTTTGGAGGAGTCCTTAAGAAAATTCTTGAGATGATCTTTTTTGAGAAGACTTGTGCAACACTCAAAATTACTTAATCCAACAACCATTTCCTGATTACCTACTAAAAGATGAATAAGACATCCTGTCTATCTCGTGGGTACTTGCAATCTAGAAGTAAAGTTGTACATAAACAATTGTAATACAACATGGTAGAGTTAAAATGGAAACATTTACAGAACAATGACCTTTCTTGGTTAGGATTTACTAGAATATGTGCCAGTTTGACTCAGTAGATGGCAGCAGAGATGCCAGCAAGACCTTCAGTGATTTGAATTGTTTCTATGGGGAAGAAGTGAGGCTGGTCCTATTGTTTCTAGTCACATTTTTCAATACAGTCATATTTTCTGGTTGGAAAGCTTGAGCAGCTTGAGGACCATTCTTGGGGGATTTGTGTTCTTAAGAAGATGGCCCTTTAAAGAAAAAAGTTACTCTATATGAAAATATGTAAACATCCAAGCACTTTTTAATATTTAGCTTTTCAGTGAAATAGGGATGAGGGTGGGGTGAGTGGGGTGAGTCCAGGCCTGGAGAGAGGGCTTTGTTTTCTAAACATAGAATTTATTTTCAAGGCACTTCAAAGGCTGTATTGTAGTAGGATCCTGCTCGTTATGCAGCAATCCTACACTGTTAGACGCTTGACCAGGCCCCTCGTGGCTTGGCTGACTTTTCTGTTTGTGCTGCTTTGGGTTGAAGCACAGGCTAGTTGAAGAGTTGTTGCTGATGCCGTAACTGTAGCTTTGAAACCTTCTGGCATGCCCAGTGTATTCTTCAGGAAACTAAGAAATGTAGACTTGAAAATAACCCAAGCCGGACAACTTGTTGCCAGATCGTGGGGAGTTTGTTCTCCCAAAATCATTGAGATGGTTTCAAAACTAACTGAAGAGAGTGCCTGGTTATTCTGCTTGCACAGTGCTCAAGCCTTGATTCAAAGTGGAGCAGTGAGATTAGTACAGAGGTGAAAGCAAGAGGCATCTCTGTATGCCTCTGAAGCAGACCCTAGCCTAGGAAGTAATTCTGAGACTTCTTTATTATTTTCTGACCAGAACTGCCAGCTCACGGATCCCCACATACCACATAGCTTTTGAAGGGAGACTGTAAGCCAAGGTTAAGTCTTCTTTCAC